TGTTTTAAAACTCAGTTGAAACTGAGATTTGATTCCAAAATTTTACTGATCCAAATGAAACACCCAATAGCTTTGGTGAGAAACAAAGCTTACTGTATTCTAAGAGCAGAGCCTGCAAAAGAAAAATAAGGAGAACAATCCTGTGTGAGTTTATTTCTTCATTGAAGTACTGTTGTTTCTCTCTTTGTTCTATAGAATGCTGAATGGCATACAGCTCTTGTTTAGCAAACTGTTGTTTACATACGTATTGTACATACTTATCACATTGGGGAAAATGGAAAAAGAATAAGGAGTATTAAGCAAAATAAATTAATCAAAGGAATTACGAGAAAAGGAAAAGAAAAGAAACTAAAACTAGTTCACACCAATACCATTCACTATGCATTCCCCATATTTTCCTAGCTTTGCATACCAATCCTGCTTCAACTGTATCCATACAGTGATTCCTGCTTTGCCTTTTATTAAACTTCTCATGTTTGTTTTTTCAAGTCACATCAACCTCATCCAGCTATGATTTTCTCAATCTCCCCTTTCCTCTCAATTAATTCATTCCTCCTTTAGTTATTTGTTTTGTAATATAATACTCATTCTCTCTATATATATGACCCAGCTACTTCATGTAGTCCTCACTGATCCATCAATCTCTTCTATCATATACACTTCTAATATACTCCAGCCCAATACCTTCAATTAGCTTTTACATTTCTCCCGACATACACACTCTATACAACTAAGTGGCCACAAGCAGCTCTTATGCACAGCCACATTCAGTTATTTCAACAAACCATGTATTATTAACTACCTTTCTCCTTCATTTGCACATCTTTAAATTTTCCTGTCATTTCCCTGTCTTTATTTAAACACACTACCAATATATACTAATTCATCTAGCTGTTCTAATTTGTAACTACGGATGTACAATTTTCCAACGTTCACATTATCTTCACTACACAAATAGATTGGTCCTTGATGCTTTAATTTTCAGGTCCATAGTCCTTGTTGCATCATAGAATCACTCAACATTTGCTGCAGATGATTAGGTTTTAACAATACATCATTGCCTTCATATAAATGTACACATATATTTCTGTATCCAACAAACATGGCTTTATAATCTTCACCTGAATCTTATCCCTAAACACAGTAAGCTACACAGGGAGAGCAAACATCCTTACCCTGGTTATTCATTGAACATTCCAGTTATTCTCAAAAATGCTTTACTTCTATCATGAACTGCTCTGCCTATATTCAGCATTTAAGTTTAAATTTCTTATTAACACAGACTTTCCATAATTCAATCCTATCCACTTTTAAAATCAACCAATATATAATAAACTTTATTTTTTATAGCTAACGTATATTGTATGAAAACCTGCCCTGCAGAAAGCCATAATACACAAACTTTGCTCACTGTCAGCTCCATCAAGCATTTTCCTAGTCATTTAACTAATGAATTCTTTGCACTCACTCCTGTATCTCTTTGTATAAAGGTACAACAAAGTCATTCTTCCAATCATCAGGTACCAGTGCAATATTCATGTGCACATTAAATAGGTTGCAGAACCATTTTCACATCCATTAAATAACATTTCTCCAGGTATTATCCATACCTGCAACCTTATCATTTTTCCAACATTCTCATGACAATTATGTTTTCTCATATTTTTTTCTTTGACAGCAAGGTATAGAGGACTTATTCCAATTCTACTCTTCAGTTTTTCACTCTGTTTCCTATATACATCCATAAAATAGTCCTTCCAGCAATCCTTCTCTTTAGATTCATCTCATCTCATTTCAGCCCTTTTATTCTTAATTCCATGTGATCTGCTGGAAGTGGGCGAACATTATTTTAATTTCTGTAAACATATAACTCTTCAAATCTGTCCTTGCCCATAGGTAGAAAATACATTTGCATATTATTCCTCATCATGGATGATATTCAGAGTAAGTTGTTTATTTCATTCTTAAGGTTAAAACTCATATTTTCTTCAAACTTACATTTTGGTCTGTTTCTACTTATGCTGTTACTCCTTTATTTGCTATCAAATAATGTATTTTGCTGTATCTTTATGTACATGAATTTCAGTAGAAGAGAATATATGCAGTTTAGGGTTGATGCTCTCTGAGTTTGGTTGGTTGTTTGTTTGCAGATGTTTTATTACACAATTAGGGAACATAATCAGTACTAATGCTAGTAACTCCCTTTTTATATACAGTAACTTGCTGTGTCAGTGTTGGCAGCTGCACAACCAACATAAACCAGGAAAAGGATAACACTATCATATGTCAAAAATTTCAACAAAACTCAGCAGCACTTTTTCATGCAGCTGCTGATAAAAACAGAATCGCCAATGTCCGATAACGGATATGGCACAAGAAGAAGATGTCAAAAATATCTCAGAAACAACCAACAAACTATTACAACTATATGGCATTACAAAAGCTCATAAACCAACTACAGTCCTCCAAAATTTCTTAAATGAATCAAAACACTCAGTAGCTCAAGAAGAAAAAAGCAGGAGTCATCTACAATATACAGTGTAAATACTGTAATAGCCACTATGTGGGACAGACAGGCAGAAGTTGAGTGCATCCATGAATGCCAACTAGCAATCAGAAGACATGATGAAAACTCTTTAATTTCACAACATACGGACATACTCAACCATAATTTCAAGTGGGAAACTGTGGGCATTCTAGACCAAGCCAAGTCCAAAACCGTTAGGGAATATCTAGAAGTCAGGCAAATTAGTCATCAATAGACACATAGACATAAACAATATCTATATCAGAAAACAAACAATATCTACTGTATATACTGTGCAAAAGAGACAATCAATAATTCTAAAAGGGAACAAAAAGATCAAAACACCTCCTCACCAGCAATCAGTGTCCAAATGAGCATAGATTAACTCCAAGACTGACATTAACAATCAAGTTAACAATACCCCATGTAATATAATATAAAGTGAGAGCAAACCCCACTCCCTACTAGCACTGGTGATGTTACCTAGTTTGGGTAATGAAACGTCTGCAAGAAAACAACCAAACTTAGAGAGCACCAAGGACCCCTCATTTCTCCAACATTCCCAAATCTGTGTGATCCACTTCCCTTTCCATGTGACCTGTCTACTTTTGAACATAAACTTAATGCTCTTTTAGAAGAATGTTAGACCCAGGTTCAGAAGCAGTCCACCTGACAGTGCCAGGCACAGAGAAGAAACATTGTGTGAAGTGAAAGGAGCATACCCAGTGCTGTTCTCAATGCTTCTTCCAACCCTGTGACTTTTCAGTTGGGCTATTTTTGAATGTGAAACTACGGCTGTTTTGAAACCGTTTTAAACCCATGGCAAACCAGAGAGAAAACAGGATTAGATAAACCTGTTTGTTGTAAGGCTACATTAACAGAATCTTGCAAGTCTGAAAGTACAAACTGTCCACCTCCAGTTTTAACTGCTTGATCCATTTTTTATTTTATTGTATTGTATTCATGTATTAAATTTATATTCTGCTTTTCCCACTGCCAAGCAACTCTGGATAAAATATAACAATAATATATTATTACTATTATTATTATTATTAATATAAAAACAGGATAATAGAATAAAAACATTAAAATACTAAAACTTTAAGCATTAACAACAAAAAATAGGGGAAACCCAGAATAAACAAACAAATGGAGTGGAAGTGGGAACTTCTTCATAGTCCAATAATCATTTCCAGCATACAACACTCCCATCGGGGGGCCCCAAGCCAATCAGAAAAGCCAGGTTTTGAGACCTTTTCAGAAGGGCAAAAGGACGGGAGTAGAACTCACATCAAGGGGCCAGAGGGCAGAAAGGGGTCTTCTCTCGGATCCCACCATCTGAAATTCCTTGGTCCCATGCCATTAGGGTTGTTCTTCCTTTCTCTGGGATCCTGGGTACTCTCCAAGTTTACTGGTTTTCTTGCAGATGTTTTATTATCAAACTACGTAACATCATCATCCACCCAGTAGAGCCATGTTTAGAAAAAGCTTATCATTCAGGCAACTTGACAATTGAATAAATTCTCTGTCCCAGGCACTGGCCTATGCCCACCGTTACACATTAAGGAGAGCAATTGGCCATTTTTCCTGCCAGTAAGTGGTGCTTGAGGAGAGGGTAAACAAAACCATGCAAATCCCCCAACTTATCTCACATTAAAACTGTAAAGACAGCACCACCCGCCAGCCTCATTGCTGAAGCAGAATTGGACTTGACAGTTACAGCAGTGCAATTATATGCCAGCATTATTTTCTGCTGGCTCAAGGCTGGAAGATAACATATCAATGTGACTGTCAGGTTGTATCCTAAATGCATTGCTTAGAATGTTATTTCCAGCCGTTGCAACAACATGCAATCATGGTTACAACTCTTGGGAAAAGTATCACGCAAAAATGCTGGCATGCTCCTGTTTCATCATTACAACTTTACGACCAGAGTCTTTTAAACACATGACGAAAGGTGGCTTTCCACCGGAAGCCTTCCACTCATAACTACTGTTCAGATTTTATTTTGCCATTAGACAAAGGCACACTACGTAAATGAAGCAAAAGTAAACGAAGCAAAACTTTACGCATCAGGGAGGGAGGGAGGGGCGCACTGGTTATTTGCTTTCTCTTCTGAATGGACTGACCTGGAGGGGGGGGGGAATGAAGTGAGGGAGAGCTGAATGCAAGGCATCTATGGTGTTCTTTGCCATCTTGATTCGTCAATTGGACGACTCACTGCCCGAAGAGCCAACGTTGTTGGCTGCCTGTTCTCAGTCTCGGATTATTTATGCTCAGATTGGGGATCGGAACAACGGTGTGTGGAAGTGCCTCGTGTCTCCATCATTGCCATATTGCATCCCGATTATGCCATGGCTGTCACTGGTTTTACGTCACATGTCCACCCTCCCCAGCCCCACCGTTATCAGTGGAGATTAGCAGCCAGCTGCCTGCTTTTTTCGTCACCGTTAGCACTGTGCCTTTGGTCGGCGGAAGAGAAGACCCAAGGAGGCTCTTCAGCGTACCCGGGAGTCTGCTTGGAAGAGACGGAAGCGGCCGCCTGAGGCGCGCCGGGCAGCACTAGTGGGCGCCCCTTATAATAAAAGGCTGCCGAGGAAATCCACTAGGCGGGCGCGAGCGGATTGAGTGAGGTCAGCAGCGGGGCCGGCCAATGAGCGGTGCATTTGGGAAGTGCCTGCTCCTGGCGTGCGGCTGAAGGGGGCGGAGAGGCCGAGGTGGATGCGGTTCCAACGACGGCTCGGACATTCCGGCACTAGGCAGGGAGCGCTGGCTCTGCGCGGAGACGCGGCTGGGGGAAGAGGGAGAAGAAGAGGATCGGGGTCCTCTGCTCTGACTTGACGGAGAAAGAAGCCAGCGAGGCGGAAGCCTTTGCCTAGCCAGGCACACAGGTGCAAGCGACGCCCAGCTGCCGGAGGCGATTAGCGTGCGCTTGGAAAGCGGAGGATCCCCCGAGCCGGGCGCCTGCTCGCCTCGCCTGAGAGGAACGGGGGTGGTGGTGGTGGTATCGTTCCTCCCGTTGCCTCAGCCCTCTTTGGCAGCGCTTCTTCACCTGCCACCTGGAAGGGCGCGCGCCCCGGCTCAACCAACCAGCCAGCCAGCCAGGTAGGAGTTTCCTTCTCGCTTCGGAGTCTTTTCGGGGGCACCCTTGGCGCGAGGGCTGCGCCTGCTGCCTGTCTCGCGCTCCCGTTCGCCTACCAAAGTTTCTGGCAAAGAATCACTTCAGGGCGGGCGACAAGTCAAGTCGACCCGGTAGCGGGAATCCGCGCTCCGAAGCCCGAGAGCTCTGAGAGCCGGGAAAAGACCAGCTGGAGAACGCCCGTTCGGAGCGTTTAGTACATCCAGTGCAAAGCAGCTCGCCTCTGAGTGCCGGCGCGTTTTGCCGGATTAGCTCAGGGAAGCCTTCGGTTTCCTTAGGGTAAACTCGTGTCGGTTTGTCTGTCTGGCGTGGCGACGAAGCGTCCAGGTTTATCTGTGTGCTCCTTCTGTTTCTCCAGGTGTGAATGTAAGCGCTGAGACGGCTATTCTTCCTTTTAGGGCAATCGCGAGGATTTGGTTTAGAGCCTATTTTAACCTTTGGGTTAGATTTCCGAGGGGGAGGCAGTTTCAGTAGGAATAAAACTATTAGTTTGATTCCTTAAATGTCCCCCCTCTCCTTTTAGGAAAGTGTATTAGAGCCCCCCCCACACACACACAATCCCCGTCCAATAGTCTAAAATGCCTACCGCTTTTCAGTTTCGAACAGTTGCAAATACTGATAATAAATCACCTTACACCACGTTGGAAAGAACCTTTTTTGTGTTTACTTACTATGTAAAATACCGTACAGGTACTGTGCTTACCTGTTTATCGCCGCTGTCCTCCCACCCCAGAAAGACTGGCTAATAATTCATTTAAATTACTTGTAAGAAGAGACTCGTCTTGTTTTTCGAGTTAGCCAGGTGTGCTTTAATGAAGTCAGAGGACCAAACGATTTGTCTGATACCTCTTTGTAAAGTTGCCTTACCTGAGAGGTATCCTTCTTGGAAATTAGTATGCCGTCTCAGTAATGACTCTCAAAACCGGGAGGGGGGCGGACAGAAAGAAGGGGGTGAAAATGGTTCTCCATTTACTGAGTCAGAGACAGGATGGATTCATTGGTGGACTTCAAATGAACACTGCTTTTTTTTTTCCCAAATCCGGATTCATTTAAAGGGCAAGATAGTATATCTCTGAAAAGGCTGAGCTCCACATAAGGAAGCCCTCAGTTCAAATCACTCCTTTGTCAGGAATGTCGCTGGGCAAAACGGAATTTTTTTTGTCTCTGCCTACATGAGAAGGATACTGCCTTTCAGGGTCCTACCAGAGTTGTCAATCAAGATTCAATGGCGCTGTAAAAGCTAACAAATTTATTATGACATAATTTTTTCTTGACTGCAATCCACTTTATAAAGGTTTTAATTCTCCCTCTCCCTCCCCCCTCTCTCTCCCTCCCTCCCCCTCCCTCTCCCCCCTCCCCAGTACACTAAAACAGCTATCTGCTCTGGAAACTGTAAGAATTGTGTGTGCTGACTTCTTTATGTACAGTATATAGTATAAATATCCTTGTTAATGTCCACTTTAATATATTGCTTTTATATGTTCAAAGTGATTTTCTTGAAATCTTTAGGCAATTTTTATTGTTACTCTTGGACTGAAATAGCATGGCAACAATGTGGAGTACTAGCAGACTTTGCTATTTATTTATCACTTGCACTTTCCTAAACTCATATTTTCTGTCTAGACTAACATTCATCATTGTTACTTAATTCAGAACCCCTTCTTTGGTAACAGATTCCACACCCTGTGACTCAGTGGCTGTGTGTGCATGATACTGACCTACAAGCTGCTCAACCATATTTTAACCTAGAATCATGTGTAAGCTCTACCTGCACAGTTTTTTGTGCAGTTTGTTGGGTGAACCCAGGGTTATTATTTTTTTTTGAGAAAAACCATTATTAAGGTAACCATGAATAAGTTATGCAATACACTGCTTATATTTTTCCATGCAATTTAAACAGAAAGATTTGTAGAATCAGAATTTCTAGGGTATATATAGTATATTTATCTGCTGGAGATATTTTTAAGAGTAAGTTACTTGCAAAATAATTATACTCATTACATTCCATATATATACTTATATATAGCACAAAATTCCAAATATGTATAGAAATATATATCTTCCTATGTTAGATTATTTATGTCATCCAAATACTTTTTAGGAACAAGAATGAGCTTTGATCTCATTTTAATTTTTTCCATAAAAAGACATACAAACTCTCCAAAGATAATGAAATCCTAAGCACAACACTTAGTAGAAAGTGTGTCTGTACATGTGTCTTATTTTTTAAATAAACATGTTGCTACAGCTTATGAATACTTTCAATTGTTTTTGTTTTTTTAATAAAAAAAACTTGCTTTGAAATTTATCGTGGAATTTCACTGTGTTCCTCAGTTTGAAATGTTAAAGTGACTGAATAATGTACTGCAGTCTGATTTTGTTTGCATCTGGATATTTAATCAGACATAGTGTTTGGTTTGCTTAAAATGGTTTGGAATAGAGCTGGAACACAAGATATTATCTCGCTCCTTATGGCCAGTTATATGACATCAGGGGAAAAAAAAACTCTTTCATGCTAGCTGTTCTTAGTAGTAATTTGTAAAGCTAAACTGATTCACATAGCCTGTAGTGCAGCTTTTCCACCTCTTCAATATTTTATTCCATTTTATCCCATTAAAAGCTCAAAGGGAAAAATGGATAACGAGTAGGGGAATAAGGTTAGTGCTTTAGAGATTCAGATCTTAGGCTCCCCTTATGCCTATTTGCATAAGAAGACTTATTTTCCCTTTAAATTGGATAGAGCAATAGGAAAGGATTATTTTTATCTACTAGTTTGTAATAATAAATAGAGAAAAATAATTCAAAATAGTTTGGAATTATTTTATATTTGAATCAGTTATACACGCACTTGAATGTTGGGAAGTTCTGAAATTTGCAGTTGTTCTTGAAAACCCCAGCATTGTATTTTTCTTGAAATCGCATGAAATACAATTTATGACAGCTTGATTCTATTTGGTTAGGATTTTTACTTTGTTCACTATTCTGATGCAAATAGTAATGTTTTGTAATAGTTCTATAATAGTTATAGAATTCAGCATTGGCTGGAAAATTCTTTTAATGTGAAGAATAACTTTTGCTGCTAATCCTGGTAATAAAGAGCATTAACTATAAATAGCTATTACTGTACATGGACATTTGCATTTTTAGATATATCATATTGTTTCAAACTAAACTGCCTATTCTATAAGGCCTTGCCTGTTTTCACTCAACTAGCTTATATTAAAACATCTGCCTATCTATCTTTTCTCCAAATATAATATTTATACTAGCACATTAGCCTGTGTTACCTCTACCCACTTCTTGTGTTTTAGCCCAGTTGTTTTTATAAACTCGTGGAAAGGTTTCTGAAACAATACATTTAAGAATGGATTAGTAGCTTTAACCAAATAAAAATTCTTATTTTTTAAAAGCCATTTTCTCTTAAAATTCATTCTGTTATTTCCAGTCCACTTTTCTAACTTAATCAATGCTATTTTTTTGTATTTTCTTTCCCCCTACCCACCCAATTTTGTATCTTCCATAAATTTAATGAATATTCCCATTACCTTTTCACTTAAGTCATTAAAAAAGATGTTGATTATAGGACCGAGGACCAAACAATCTGGTTCTGCCTTTGATATCTCACTCCAGTGTGATAAAAAAAACCATGGATTAATATTCCTTCAGCAAAGTGTTCAGTTCAGCTGGAGATTCACCCATCTATATTTAACTTGCTTTCCTAATTGTATTATGTGTTTTTGAACTTAAACTATACTACACCTACTATGTTCTCACAATCAGCTCAAATTGCTAATAGAAGAGAATATATGTAGCTCAGAGTTGAACTGTGGAACCCTTCGTGCTATCTGAGCTTGGTTGTTTTCTTACAGACAATTCATTAGCTACCATGTTTCCCCAAAAATAAGACCCAGTCTTATTTTTTATTTATTTTTTTTGCCTCCAAAAGAGGCACCAGGTCTTATTTTCATGGGGTGTCTTTTCCACTCATCTCCGGCATTGACAGCCTCAGCCAGCCAGCCCACTTCTTCTGCAGCCGGAAGAGCAGCTTCATTCTGAAGCTGAGAATGGAGCTCCAGCCTGCATTTTGCAGGCAGAGGCCTTTCTGGAAGGCCTCTGCAGCCAAAAACCAAGCTACGGATTGAATCCATAGCTCGGTTCTCAGTTGAAGAGGCCTTCCGGAAAGACCTCTGACTGCAAAATGCAGGCCAGGGGGATGTTGCAGAAGAAGTGAGCTGGCGAGGAGAGGTAGGCTGCAACGATAAGTGGGTGAGAGACATATGGGGCATCTCCACCCTCCACCCCTGCCCTAGCTTGATTTTTAGGCGTATACCTTGCCCCAAAACTAGGGGTTATTTTGGGGGTAGGGCTTATATTAGGCCCACCCCCAAAATCAAGCTAGGGTGTATTTTTGGGGTAGGTCTTACTTCGGGAAAACATGGTAGCTATGTAACATTTTCAGTACTGAGCAGAACACTGAGGTTCAGAGCACTGAAAGTGTTGTCTAGCTGGGTAATGAAACACCTTCAAGAAAACTAGTTCAGGGAGCACCACAGACACTACTACTCAAGTTATCTGATCAAAACATGGAATAAGATTAATCTGATAAAACTTGGTTTTGGAAAATTCAAGATGAATTCTTAATGATATTTAGTAGATAATTTTTCTTAAGTTTTTGCCCTCGAATCTTCACAGGTATTTAGGTCAGACTGATTTGTTATTCCCTTGGTAATCTTTCTCCTCCATAACCTTCTTTTTTTTAAAGATAAGGACAGCATTTGTTCTCTTCCAGTTATTTTAGTTATTCTTGTTTCTTAAAGAGAATAGGTTTGAGCAAAGCACTCCATTGAAGCAAAATAGCAAAGTAACCTTCTATCTTGAAGATGTTTTGCATGTACAAGCTACTTCTTTTGATCTGATGCTATGGGTCGCTATGGATAAGCCTTGTTACTTAGTGTGACAGAAATGTTATGTATATTGTGTGAAGTGATGCTGAGAAGTAAATTTTGCATGTTTTTAGATTATACACAACAAAAATGATGAATTCCAAATCAGTGCCCTTCCTGATTTTTTACTGAGTGATTTATATTAGTCTTAGTTTAGTTGTTCTCTTTTTTACTCTTGCAGTGTACAAGTCCTTACAATTTTAAACTTTCTGATTCTAGTCCCTAGAAGATTCATCCTGAAGACCTTTTGAGCAACATACTTTGGGCAGATACTGTATATTATTCCTGATCTTTTTGAGGTATAGCCTGTATCTCATGCCAGCAATCCATCATCTAGATAACACAGAATATGATCTCAGGAACTAAATTTCTTATACTAACACAGTTTCTTTCATCTTCAGAATATCTTCAAAATTTCTTGTTTCTGATTATCATGTTCATCCACTAGGCTTGGACCTTTTTGTTTTCTTTGTGGAGGGTTGCTTTTCCTATCAAACCCTGTTGTAGCATCTCCTCTATTTGAGTTAATTAAATTTTTATCAGCTGAAGTATGGCCAAATGAATAAAAAGGAAATAACATAAATCCTCTTGTAAATAAAGGAATGAAAGAAATCATATTTAAACCCAGGTCTTATTTTGGACACTGACCTAATGATCAATTTAGTTGCTTAACAGCAGACTTTAAATATACTGAGCTACAACTCCATAAATTACAACCACCATGGGAAATTACCACTCTAGAAGGGTTTACATTGCTAACAATATGCTTTACAGAATGCAAAAGTGAAACTGAACCAGTCAAGCAGTGTTATCACAAAGTCAGGTGATAAAAGGTGACTTTATTTTGTGATACCATAATTAAGTATTGATATTCGATTTTCTTTATCTTCCCTTCCCTTTTTTATTTTTATTTTTAACCAACAAAACAAAACAAAACAAAGCAAAACATAACACACATACACACACAGTATATACTCCTCCTCCCTTTTT